TCATTATGTTATCTCCTGAATGTATAAAAATAAGGTGAAAACTAGGGCTGCACGGTATATGCGGTAGACAGTAGAAACGGTATGAAGTTGGCCTACGGTAGAAATTTATACTCTACCGTCATATCGTCATTACGTCATCACACCTGTGTCAGCATGGCTGTGAGTGCAGAGACAACTGAGCAGGAGTTCAAAATATAATGAAGAAATTCTAGTGTTTTAAAACACGTATAGAGAGGATAAATCCTCAAAATATCCCCCTCCCGCTGTAGAAAAGTTACGTCGTGTCGCTGGATCATAATCTCTTCCTCCTCTCCTCTCCTCTCGCTGCACGTCGGGCAGAGCAAAGCTTTAACAACTGTAGTTTTTCACACCCAATTGTTGGAGAAAAGACTTGTTTTTTTTATGTATTGTTACCCACAGAGATGATTTTAAAAAAAGATGTGGACATTCGTTCAGTCGTAAATCCATCTTGCTAATGTAAAGTCAGCTTCTGCTCTGATGATGAAGATGATGAAGATGATGAAGATGAGCGCACAGCAGCTGATAGCAGGCGGAATCTCATTGTTTGGCAGGCAGATATTAAAGCAGAAATGCTGGGTTTGATTAAGATTACAGTTCTCTGCAAAAAAAATGCTCTAAAAATTACATTATCTTTACTTTTTATGATAATTTTCTACCGCGATATATACCGTTACCGTGAAGGGGTTCAGTTTATACCATGATATGAATTTGAGGTCATACCGCCCAGATAGGAGCCGAAAGTGAAATACTCATTTTCAAATGAAAAATAGTATTTGTAAACATTAAAGGGGCAATATCATGTAAAATCAAGTTTTTTGAGTTTTATATCATGTTATAATGTTATACTCTCATAAAAACATGCCCAAAGTCTTGCTTTGACTCATTCATGCATGTTTGAGAAATCCTGCAGTGTTTTTAGGAAGCCATGCTGAGGAGCAAAACGACAGGTGGGGACCAGAAACACCTTTTGGTACCAGGAACACCTTTTGGTACCAGAAACACCTTTTGGGACCAGAAACACCCCTGGGATGTGTCTTTAAGCTGAACTTCCTCATGGCAGAGCACTAGGGGTGTAAGAAAATATCGATACACTGAAATATCGTGATATTTCATTTCCTGATACTGTATCAATATTCTAAAGCCCTGTATCGATTTTTAATTAAGGTTTGAAATGTCAACCTTCTTGCCAACCGTTCATTTTTATGTTGTAGTTCAGCCTCTGACCACTAGTTGGCAGCAGTGAGCCAGCCATTTGTCTCCTCTACCTCTTGAGCGCCAGAGATTAAGGGTAGCATTAGCATTGTGAGTAAACATTAGCTTTTCCTTTTCGTTTTTTTTTTTCCTGTAAGAGGTTTTTATTTAATAGAATTTTTGGACAAAAAAATCGCAATATATCACAATATATCGCCTTGCTTACAGTATCGCAATATATCGGGATATATCGTATCGTGACCCCTCTGTTATGATATGAATCGTATCGCCAAATTCTTGCCAATACACAGCCCTACAGAGCACACCCCCCCTTCCCCTCCCCTCCCACCCGCTCCTTGGCTCTGGCAGGTTACGTGCTGAAACCAAGTACACTTCGCTGCAGCATGCAGAACGGGGCGGTGACAGACCTTTCCGTCAGTCCCATACCTTATATGGAAATGGGACTATTGCATTCCGGAAATGAAGGGGGCGCTAGTGACACTATTTTCTATCGAACACTTTCAACATTAAAAATACAAATTTTACAGTAAGGAATTTCTTATCTTTATTTGCACCCATCCTTTTTCTCTTTCATGCAAGTTTGTTTGTTTGTTTGAAATACGCCTTATTGTTTGTACATTGTATCATTTTGTGTGTTCTTTGTTGTTTAATAAAAAAAATAAAACAAAAGAAATTTTACAGTAAGGAAATGGCTACACAACGTGTTATGTCACGTGGTATGTCCCTTTTCATTTACAAATCTTTATTAAATCTTTGTTGTTTTTGGATATTAATATTATATTACAGTAACAAACTAACCTTAGGCATTAAACCTGTGAGGTTAACCTGAGGGTCTGTGTTAGGGGAGGTGGATAAAAGAAATTAATAAATAATGCTCTGAGTACTTC